TTGGTTCTATAAATTTGCTCCACCATATTTTTCATTAAATTATTCGGATTTGATTTTTTCATTGCACTAATTATTTTCAAATTTATTTAAAAAGTACCTAAACTATTAATATCTCTATTGGAAAAAACAAAAAATTAATAAGCCAAAGTTTTTTTTTAATTATAATCCATAACTCTTGACAGTCGCATATTAACTACAGATTGCTAGTAAATAATTATATTAATTTTAAAGGTTATAAAATATGTCAACAAACAAGACTGCGCGCAGAATCTGAGACTTCAACGAGGCGTTTACCCCTCACAGCAATCCCGTATTGCTCTCTCAGCTCAACGGTTTAGCTATTTTAGCCATCTACTGTATACCTGCCAGAGCGATCTACTAGATGGCTCTAGTAACTCTCTAACAGTTAGTCGAGTGGGGATAGTTACTGTAGCATTACAATATAGCTCTGAGAGCGATATTTTTTTTTCCGTGTACAATGCGTGTTTAATATACATGAAGATTGTAAAATTATAATCTTAGTAGATTTCCTGACAGGTGTTGGAAAATTACATGAATTGTATTTTATTTTGCATTGCTATACACTGATTTGTAATTTTATTTATTATTTGTTTTGTAATATGATTGTAATTTTACAATAATTTTTAACATTGTGGCGCTGCTTCCCCAAAGTATCTAAAAATCATGATTAAATATAAAAATCTATTGTATATCAAGTATTTATGATAGATTTTGTTCTCCAGTCAAGAAATTTTTCGTTCTTTGTACAGAAAACAACCAAAATGCGTTACATTGTCGTTTTTCTGACCGCTATTGCCTGTGCCGCTGCCGATGTTACTTACAGCGAGCCCGATCAGCCGGCAAACGATAAAATACCTGAGCTTATTCAAAAATCGTTAGCGCACCTTGCATCGAACCCCGAAGACATCCGGAACAGAAACCAAAACAACTACTGGAACGGTAACACTAACGGAGAGACCAGTCCCCCCACTACAAACTCCAACTGGAACGAAAACCAAAACGACAACTGGAACGGTCAAACCTTCGGAGGGCCCGATACTGGCCCGGAAAGTGGAACACCAAAAATAATAAAAGTTTCAACTGAAACGATGATACAGCCGGAGAACGGGGTGGTGTATGATTATAATGCTGTTTGATTTTTTTACCAAATTCTAAATTATGATCATCTTAATGATCATCGTAATAAAGAATATTTCATTCTAAAATTTATGTTATTGTTTTTAAATTACTAATTGATATTTTTCTATTTAAATATAATTTAATTGTTCATAAAATATTTGTAGAATAGTAATTCGAACCAATTAAACACCTAAAATAATTCAACGCTCGTAATTTTGAGAATTCGACGCAAGAAAACAATGTATAGCTAAACTGGTTATCACTAAAAAAATCAGGGTACAAATTCTGCTGTTGTTTCACCCAGAAAATGAATATAATCAAAAAGTAAACAACTTAAGAGGATACATAATGGTTAAATAGCCTTGTGATTGACAATTAAACTAGCAATACGTTGGAGAGAGCAGTAGAGCAGTAATAGTTAATACGACAATCGCGCCTAAATGCTCACAATCACGATGTACAAGGGTATTAAGTGCACACAAGATGACGGCGCTCTGATTATTGATTATCGATTCGATTCAATTACTTTAGTACATTAAATATAAATGCACATCGTGGATGATAGACGCACTGACATTGATAATTCTCTTTGTTATTACCTTCAACTGAGTGAAAACGCTTAGACCACTCTAGAGCTATTCTATCTCGAGTCTCAAGATCCAATCCTCTTTACTTCGAGATTACTACGCTGAGCTCTTCTATTTATTAATTTTTATTCTTCGGTCAATCAAGATACCAATCATATTAGTGATATTGAATCGGGGATTTTTTAAATTGAAAAAAAATTATTTATCTGATAAAAATCGAGATAATACTGAAAGCATTACTAAAAAGTTTGAGAAAAATTTTATATTTACAAATTTGAATTTTTTTAAAAGGTTATGGGCCCAGTTATAAAAATTTTCGGATCTGTTTTGATAAAATACTTTTTGCTTAAAAATATTATTTTTTAGGCGATTAAACAAGGATGAAATAATCGTCTAAGAACACATTACACTTTCGGAGAACTTAAAGGGTCATTCTGGTTTGTAACTTTCAAAAAAAATTTTTTTTTTACATTTTTCGAAAGTACATATATCTAAAAGTATTGTGTTAAAATTTCCAAGTGATCGGACCACTGTAGCTAGATTATAACGATGTTTATGTTGATGTTCGAGTGGAAGAAATTCAAATTTTTGAAAAGGCTGAAGGGAATTTTGAATGGTCCCGGCGTCGCTGATTGACTTTAGGTAAGATTTTGTTTTTTTTAATTAAAAAAACTTTAAGCGCATTTATCTCAGAAGTATGTTTTTCTGGTTGACGTACATGATATCTCCGGAAGCACTGACCCGATCTTAATTAAATTTAAACGACATATTCTGCATAGTAGTAGCTGTTGCATCAGCTACAGCCAAATCAAAATTTTTATTTTTACTATTTTTTCAGGACTAAAAACTGTGGAAAAAAAGCCTCAATTTTCAGTTTTTTTTTAAATTGTCCGCCACTTTGTTATTTATCAATAAATATTAATCTCCGTAGCTGGTGCAATAACTACTTATATATTGAAGGTATATAATTTTGGTTTTAGTGTTTTAGATGAGCCGTTATCAAGTTATCACGTACGTGAGCTTCATACCACCGTTTTGTCAGAGCTCCGTTCTCCCGTTGTTTATTCATATAAAAAATATTAAAAAAATAAATTTAGATATTTTTAGTGTTATTCAAGAGTGTATTTGTTGAGCTGAATTTTATATTAATATCTATAATAATTTCTGTGTAAATAATCATTAATATCAGAATGACCCCTTAATTATCAAAAACTGGGCTTGCAGAGTTTCAATTTGTCGTCATGGTTTCGTCTACTTCTAAGACAATTCTACTGGGAGGTGCCAAGTCTGCGTAATTACGTGCTTAGATGACGGAAATCTCGGTTTAGAATATCTGGAGAGCCAAATCTCGGTGGCTTAAACTCAATGGCGTTAAACTGGCACGTGTCCACGTCCACTTCGGAGCTGACTCTCAACCCTAGAGCTCGTTCTAATCTCAAGATCCTCGGAAACTCGAGAGTAACCTGGTTACCGGCAATACTCAGAGGCTCTGGGGGCCGCTACCGGTACTTTAATTCGTTACGCCCGTCTAACTATTGAACGTATTAACCACTAGCAGTTGCTTCCAATTGTTGTTAACTGCCAATTATTTGGAGTTTGTTTCTTTTAAAGGTCAATTGGCGATTGCTCGCTTGGAGATAAAGTTTCAAGTGTTGAAAAAAACACTAAGAGAAGTGGAAAAGTTTAAATTTGATCAGACATATCAGATTTATTTGATCTGAAGTATATTAGATAGCCCAGATCGTCTTAGATATATTAGAGGTGATTAAAAATATTCCGTATAATCAAATATAATATTTCATCCGATAAAACATATCTAATATATTAGATCTGACCATATTCATAAAATAGATCAGATCTAATCATATGTATAAGATCTAATTGGATATATCCAATATACTAGATCTGATCATATATATGTCTGATATATTACGTCTGATCAGATATTTAAGGCATGTAAGATTTGATCAAACATATACGATCTATAAAAAAAAACAGATCTGATCAGCTATATTAGATCTGATCAGATAGATTTGATAATTATCAGATCAAATCCAATATTAAAGATATATCAGATTTAATCAAATACATTAGATGTAGTCAGATATATTAGATCTAATAGGATCTATCAGGTCTGATCAGATATATCAAATCTGATCAGATATATTAAATCTGATCAGATATATAAGATATCGTAAATCTGATCAAATATACGGGATCTGATTAGATATATCAGATACATTAATTCTGATCGGATACATTAAATCTGATCAAAGACATCAGATTTAATTAGATACATCAGATCTGATCAGATATATCAGATACATAAAATCTTATCAGATACGTCAGATACATAAAATGTGATCAAATACATCAGATGTGATTAGATACATCAAATCTGATCAAATATACTAGATCTGATCAGATATATTAGATCTAATCATATATATCAGATACATTAAATCTGATCAGATACATTAGATATTTGAAATCTGATCAAATATACTAGATCTGATCAGATATATATGATACATTGAATCTGATTAGATATTTCAGATCTTATCAGATGTATAAGATTTAATCAGATATGTAAGATCTGATAAGATCTATAAGATCTAATTAGATATATTAAATCTAATCAGATATATAAAATCTGAACAGATTCATAAGATCTGATCATGTATTTCAGATTTCATCAGATATATTAGATCTGATCAGATATATCAGATATATTAAATCTGATCAAATATGCTAGATCTGACCATATATATCAGATATATTAAATATACTAGATCTGATCAGATATATCAAATACATCGAATCTGATCAGATATTTCAGATCTGATCAGATTTATCGGATATCTTAGATCTGATCATACATATCAGATCTGGTCATATACATCAGATATATTAGATCTGATCAAATATACGTCAGATATATTAGATTTAATCAAATATACATCAGATATATTAGATCTGATCAAATATACATCAGATATATTATAGATCTGATCAAATATACTAGATCTGACCAGATATTCAGAGCTTGCTTGGATATATCAGATCGATCAGATACATCAGATATGATCACATACATGAAATTTGACCAAATATATGGGATTAATTAAGATAAATTGGAATTGATAAAATATTTTAAATATACTAGATTTTATAAAATATACCAGATATAGTAGATTTGATAATAAGAAATTAATCCCCGGAAATTCGTAATTAGAAATATAATTTTCTTTCAATAAATAACATTTAAGTTGATTAGTTCAAGGTATCTCCGACAAAAGCAACCCTCTATAAAAAAAAAAAAACAAAATTTCGTTGAAATCCAGCAAAGGCAAACTAAAGGTTTTATTTCCCCGAAGTAATTGAATTTGTATTTTTTTAGTTGACTAACCTTGGTAAAGGTCAGGGTGGCAATTGGCGGCAGTCGTGGTAGGTTTGGGTAATAGAAACTTCCAGCTGGATGTGCAGGATATCGTGATGTTATTCTGTAAGCAATCCCCTGGGGGTTCGTCGGCCAATTTGCCGCCGTAAAGGTAAAACCGTTGTCTGTGCCACCGTCCAATGGGTCTAGCTGTATAAAATAAAACATTCAACTTTTATCTTGCTCCTTTTTTTATTATCATCCAGCCAGAGGTGGAACCAAAGGAGAGGACATATAAAAAAAAAAGATACTTTACCTCAACAGTTACGGTATCAACCCAATTACCCTCCACACAGAGCTGGAATGAGTCGACTCCCACAAACCAATCGGGACTTGGATTTATCCTCGCCATCATGCTAACCAGGGTGTGATTACCATCCAGAAATGCACGTGTCACGGTACTGCCCTCCCCTTGGGGTATTCCCGGGCCTCCGAAGACGTCCAGGATATTAGGGCTGTCTCCCCCAGTGTCCAAGCTATCTGTGCGTCCTGTTTCTACGTACTGCATTGCTCCAGGTGATAATCGCTCGCCTAGACGGTATAATGTGTACGTTGAATCGTGAGTTCGTCCTGGAATTATAAAATATTGATTTTTTTTTAAAGAGATAACCTTACAGCATAAAAACATTTATTATAGGAAATTATCCCCAGGTAATATATGCTTGAGCAAGATTTAGCTGCTAGTTCACCCAAATCTTGAGCAAAACCCCTAGTTACTAGTGTTTTTTTCTACATATGGGTCGATATATATTTTTTTTTAGCTGGGCAATTTAAAGATCTGACCAGATCTAACTTAGCAGATCTGACCAGATCTGACTTAGCAGATCTGACCAGATCTGACTTAGAGATCTGATTGATCAGATCTGATTTAGCAGATCTGATTGATCAGATCTGATTTAGCAGATCTGACTTAGCAGATCTGATTTAGCAGATCTGACCAGATCTGACTTAGAGGTCTGATTTAGCAGATCTGACTCAGCAGATCTGATCAGATATGACTTAGCAGATCTGGCTAGATCTGAAAATGTATTTCCTATATTTTTGCTCTGATTAGATCTATGAGATCTTATATAACATGTTTAATCAAATATATCAGATAAATTAAATCTGATTAAATATATCCGATATAGCTGACCAGATCTGATGTGTAAGATCTTTTTCAATGCGTTGAAAATAATCAGATTTATCCGATAAATTCGATCTGATTAAATATATTCAATCTATATGATCAGATCGGATGTATCAAAAATTCTATAATATATTCGATTTGATCAGATATTTTTTTTCAGATCGTTATGTTGAGTTAAATATACTTAAAATAAAATCGATTAGTATAAATTTATTTTATAAAAATGATCGAAATAAATTTCTAACCTTAATAAATTTGAATTTAAAATTGAGCGGATGAAAATACAAATTTAATACGGTCATTTGTTTAGCAGTAATTTTTATTTTTTATTGTCCTATAAAACTGTAGACTCTTAAAAATGAAATTATTATCATGGATAACGTCTAGTAGTCCTGGAGCAACGAGGATAAAAACAAAGCTCGCTTTTAGACTCCCAAAGAAGAGAAGAAGAGTGTACGGGGAGGAAAATTGTTGAATACAGATGAAGCGAAAAATTATTATGTAAAAAAAAAAAAGAAATTCCGAAAGAATAAAAGTAGTCGGGGTGGTTATGATGTTGCAGAATGAGGAGACTGAAGATAGCAGGATGAGTAGTAGAGAGTTGAGAGGTGCATTAATTGCCCATAAATTCGAGGCACCGCATTAATTTGACTATCTCACACAGCTTCCGGTCTCTTGTAGGATATGAGTTACTATATACGCGTCATACTCTAGGATACTGTATTATATTTGTCGGTAAATCACTAACGACCCCTTTAAACTACCCTTTTTTATATTTTTAATAAATATAAATGCATTAAGGTTGGCTATTATTCATCGTAGATGCTAAACTCTGATTTTTCATCATAATTATTATAAAATATCGAAACTTTTCATCCATAAAAACATAGAAAAATTTTTAGGTAGGTAGCTTAAGTTAGATAATACTTTTAAATAACCGTAACTTATAATATTGATCTGAGAATAAATTTATAAGTGATGAAAATTGTAGCTCAGACTCATATAGCAATATTTTTCAAGGCTTGAGCAAATCTGGTCACAATTCGATAGTTGTTAGTGTCTTTTGATACCTATATGGGTCTTACTCCAGATATTTGTAGAAAATTCAATTGACAAGTCTTGAATAAGCCTTGTACAAGAACTTTGGGTCAGATTATAGCTCAATTATGAATTGATAATATTATATATTCATCTTATATTAATACCCGGGAAAAAAGGTTTAGATCTGACCAGATATAATTATATCTGGTCAGATCTGATCAGATATGGGATTAGAGACATAATCATATCTAGTCATATCTGATCAGATCTAAACAGATATAACTATATCTTAGTTGATATATACATTAGACATGATCAGATCTAGTCATATCTGATCAGATCTAGTCATATCTGATCAGATCTAGTCATATCTGATCAGATCTAGTCATATCTGATCAGATCTAGTCATATTTAATCAGATCTAGTCATATCTGATCAGATCTAGTCATATCTGATCAGATCTAGTCATATCTGATCAGATCTAAACAGATATAACTATATCTTAGTTGATATATACATTAGACATGATCAGATCAAGTCATATCTGATAAGATCTAAACAGATATAACTTTATCTGAGTGGAAAAATAAATCAGAATAAATACTAATAAATTATTTTAATGAATATACTTTTCTCCCAAATAAATATTTATTGAATTACGCAATTAAAAGATCTGACCAAATCTGCCTTAGCAGATCTGTTTACATATAGCCAGATCTAATCCGTTTTTCCCGGGAGGTCCCGGGTTCGGTTCCCGCGCGTGCCGATTTTTTTTTTAATGGAAATAATTCTATATAATTATATAGGGCCATTTTCCATATATAATTATGTATGAGTATATATAATCTTTTTTACCAGGGCAATTTAAATATCTGACCAGATCTGATCAGATTTGATTATATCTGGCCAGATCTTGTCAGATAGAGACAATTTAAAGATCTAATCTGTTTTTCCCGGGTATATATTTAATATATCCGATATATCTTCTATATAATATCACAAAACCTATATTTCAATTTTTACGTAAAAAATAAATGACGTCAATGTGAATGAACCGTAAAAATAGTTTTTTCTTTTTATTTTTGTATGCTTAAGATTAGGTCAGTCTATAAATATATGGCGCCAGTGTATGTCTTAAACTGTAAGCATATGTATGTGTTTTTCAAGAAGTAACTGTTCTTGCTCACTGATGGATTAATCGTCTACTATAATTCATAAATGTGTACATTAGGGCAGCTAATAAACGAGAATTGTTCGTCTGTATACTATAGAAACGTTGTTAGCCGAAAAAAGTCGAGATAAATGAATTCAACGAAGATTTTTTATAAAATTATTTTGATTGAAAGGTTCATGTCTTGTATTTACATGAGCAGGCCGGTAATATTAAATCTCAGAAAGTATTCGCGTCACAAATAAAAACGGTGTTTGAATATATTTTAGGAGTCTCGATATCGCGTTCTATCTCTGTCGCAGCTCACGAATTCTGAATAATACATCAAAAGATCCGACACGGGAAGCGAATGCGCGCCCGGAAGACTCAGAGATACCGTCACTGATAGAAATACTATAGGAAGTCTATGTTTAAATTTAAGATTTACATTTGCGTCAATAAACATTTTTATTTCATTTTTTTAGTTTGAATTATTATTATTAATAATTACAAAACTTTCTACAATAATTAATCATCCTAAAATTGAAATAAAAAAAAATTTTTAGGTCCTTATTTAGTTAAATTTAATGCCAAGTCCTCAAGCGAGAAGAATTGTTCTTTCGGCGCCACCTAGCGGTAGTCTTAAGAACTAAAATATAAAAAAGTCTTAAAAGTGTAATTGAGAGGGTTTATGCTGAGTTCCACAGATGAAGCAATACCAAGATAGTATGTAGAAATGAAATTACAGGATTGAAACATGAGAACGGGGAAGATCGAGAGGATGGAGTTGAGGTGGAGGGCGCTAGGCTGCGGAAGGGGTGAATGAGTTTGTGGATATCCGAAAACCCGCTAATAAATTCCAGACGAGTGAACGAATCGATCGCCAAGGGGGATGCAGATTAACGTACTTTGAAATCGCCGAGGGCATGAATTCCTCGCGGTTAACTGAACTTTGTCGTCTACATACATTTAGACGTTTGTATATATGTCAATTTATCGATAATTTCTGGTATATGTAACATATTTACTTTAATAATTTGTTTTTCTTTTTATTATAATTTTTTCGCGATATTCTAACATTTAGTTAATGAGAATTTGATATTAATAGATTGTTCAAAAAGTTTTGTTGCTTTAAACAATTATAAAAATATATATTTTAGGAAAAATATGTTGTTTGCTTTAAAAATTAATTTTTTAACATAAGTAAGTAATTTTTTTTTTTTGATGCTTTTGTTTCGCTGTTGATTTTGTTTTTGTTGTTAGTCATGTTGTTATTTTTGTTGTTGTTACTGTTGTTTTTGTCGTTTTTGCTCTTGTTTTTGATGTTGCTTTTGTTTTTGTTGTTGCTCTTGTTATTGTTGTTGCTCATGTTGTTGTTTTTGTTAATGCTTTTGCTGTAGTTATTGATCTTGTTTTGTTGCTTTCGTTGTTTTTGTTGTTGTTCTGGTTTTGTTGCTCTTGTTCTTGTTGTTGTTGCTCTTGTAATTGTTGTTGTTTCTTTTGTTTTTTTGCTCATGTTGTTGTTGTTTTTCTTGTTTTTGTTGTTGCTTATGTTTTGTGACTCTTGTTTTTGTTCTTGTTGTTGCTCATGTTGTGTTTGTTGCTGTTCTTATTAATTTTTATTGTTGCTCATGTTGTTGTTTTTGTTGTTGCTTTTATTATAGTTGCTAATCTTGTTTTGTTGCTTTTGTTAATGTTGTTGTTTCTCTTGTTTTGTTGCTCTTGTTTTTGTTGGTACTATTAATATTGTTGATGGTGCACATATTGTTGTTGTTGCTCATGTTGGTATTTATGTTGTTGTTCTTGTTATTGTTGTAGTTGCTCTTGTTACTCTTCTTATTGTTGTTGTTCATGTTGTTGTTTTTGTTTTTCTAGTTTTGTTGCTCTTGTTCTTGTTGTTGTTCTGGTTTTGTTGTTCTTGTTCTTGCTGTTGTTCTGGTTTTGTTGCTTTTGTTATTGTTGTTTCTTTTGTTTTTTCCTCATGATGTTGTTGTTGTTTTTCTTGTTTTGGTGTTCTTGTTTTTGTTGTTGCTTATGTTTTGTGACTCTTGTTTTTGTTCTTGTTGTTGCTCATGTTGTGTTTGTTGCTGCTCTTATTAATTTTTGTTGTTGCTCATGTTGTTGTTTTTGTTGCTGCTTTTATTATAGTTGCTAATCTTGTTTTGTTACTCTTGTTATTGTTGTTGTTTCTCTTGTTTTGTTGCTCTTGTTTTTGTTGGTACTATTAATATTGTTGATGTTGCACATATTGTTGTTGTTGCTCATGTTGTTGTTCTTGTTATTGTTGTAGTTGTTCTTGTTACTCTTG